ATCACCTACAGTATACAGCCTGAACCACGGCTTTGCTCGTTAAACAGAGACAGAATGTGGCCTGACAGTTTACACCAACCATGGCAGGTATGTGCTCCGCGACCCTAATCACCATCATCAAAACATCTCTTTAATTTGAAATTATTTACAATTAACAGCGCTTATTAATTACACACACACACACACACACACAGAGCCACTGTCTCATAAATAATGGGTTATACATAAAAGTGTAAATGAATGTGCTCCCCGTAGCATAAAGGAGGGGGGGGGGGGGGCACAGGGGGGGGTGGGGGGCCGGGGGGAAAATTTTTTGGTTGTCTGGTGTCAGCGGGCGGCCGGTTGATGGTGACAACTTTGTTTATAGGGACAAATGAATCTGTCTCAACCACTGCCTCAGCCATCTGTTGGCCGAGGCCCGCCACCGCCAAAGCAACAGCAGCTGCTGCAAAAATGCGAGGCCTTGGTATGAGGTCAGCTCTGGCTAAGTTAATCAAGAGCGCACGTGTGTCCACACACACTCACTCATGCATCTGCCTGTTGTCGTGACATGGAGGAGAAAGTGTTTCTGTGTGGTGGGAGCAGATGGTTGAAGCTTAGCTCTGCAGCTTAGCAATTTGTGCCTTTTTTTGACATTAGAAAAATACAAAGCACATTAGTCCAACTGAATTAGGACCAAATCCACTTTGTCAAGGGGGAACAAACACATACAGAGTCACTGTTCTCTACAGAGGCTTTGGCCCGAAAGTAACAGGTTAATAATAGCATTTTAACATTAACACCGCCATCGAATGACAACAAAACATGGAACATGCATGGATCTGATTTATAAACAATTAGAGCATAGTTGACCTCAATTATCTTGCTAACAGCTAACAGGTCAACTTGTGAATTTACTCTCATGATTCTACGCCTGTAGAAGAAAGAACTTTAAGAATCATAAAAAATGACATTCGTATAACTTTTCCTCCTGACTACAACCAAAGACAGGAGGAATCTTTTCACTCTTCACTGTAAATATCCAATGAAAATGTTATTAAAAATTTGAACCATTTTTCTCTGACTATTCAAGTTTATTTGACCGTACTCACCATTAGCTGCACCCAGCTAACGCTATGACGGCAAGGCAGAAGAGTTGAAGGACAAATTGAAATTCAAACATTAATTTTAAAAATAAAAAGAATTGCTACATATTCTTCACACGGTTAGAAACTTCTGTGTGTGGTGTGTCTTTCACACAACCTCTTTAACCTCTTTAACCTCTCGGGAATTAAATTCTATTGAAATTTCCATCATGTTTTTTGAGAAGCTTATCACTTAACAAAAATACAACGGAAAAAAAAAAAACGGAAAAAAAGTATAATGAAAAAAATGAGATAAAAACAGAAAAAAAGTATAATGAAAAAAATGAGACACCATTTGAATCACAGCATGGGTCTTGGGAGTTTTTGACCAACCCCAGTATCTCCCTCTCTTCTGCTCTTATTCATTGTGACACAGATTTAACAAGAAAAGGCTTAGACAGACAAACCCACGGGTCCACCACATGTTCCAGGAGCTCTCTGTGATTCGGACCAAGTGACAGTGAGTACCATGAAAGCACAGTGAAATCGCTGTCTTGTTTGATAAACCAAGTAGAGACGAGGTGAGCTGTGAAACATGGCAGCTAATCCTGCTGGAAGCGACCATCGTGAACACAGTGTTCATAAAGGGAACGAACACGGTCAGCAACAATACTCAGGTCGGCCCTGACATTTCAGTGACGCTCAGGTGGTGTTAAAGAGCCCGACTGTCATAACTCACAGGGACAAGGTGAAAAGGAATCCATGCTAACATGTTGTTAATGTCAACTGGTGACCCTGCCGTTCAAATGTCGCAGTAAAAACTGTGTCATCAGACCTGATAACGTCCTGCGGCCAATCACTGGCTAACTGACTTGAATTGTAGACTGTTTAGCTAACAGTAGCTGCTACTGTTAGCCAACAGCACGACCTTCTGCTGAAGTCACTGTAGGTTTGTTGTCAGCTTATAGCAGTGGTGCCAATCTTCTCTGATGTCAGGCATCAACACGGAGCTCTACTTTACGGGATTGTTTCCTCTGTTTTGAAACATTTTTCAAAATGCCATATGTCGTGTATGGAACTGTAGGAGATTAACAGGTTTGGAAACAGTGAGAGCAGACAATCTGGTTAGATTATTGTGATTCGCAGTGAACGTCTGCAGCTCGTCTTGACCACGTCTATATGCAGTACTGACATGTAATCCTGAAAGTAAAACACAATGGAAGTTATGTGTTGCTCAACTCAAATTCATACTAATTTTAGTACCAAATGCTTCTCCCCTTTCAGCTCCTCACTCTCCCTCGTCCTCTTCTGCAGAACAGAGACGTCGTTTCTTCTCCACTTTCGCCTCTTTTTTTTCCCTCCCCTTTTTTTTTTAACTCAGCAGCAAAAATGAAAAAATGCTACTACTACAGATCTTGGAGTGTATCTTGAAAAAGCTCCCAAGGCTCTCTTACAAGTTCAAAGTGATTCTTTTGATATAGTGGAGAACAATTTCATGCTCAATTCATTTATTCCCCTGGTACTTTAATTATGAGCCGTTTCCACATCCGCTGTGTATTTCCCTCCATCTAAAATAGTTACAAGTGTAGTACAACTTCTTTTTTTATCCACAGTTGACTGCGTGGTACTTCATGTTCTGAACGTACTCTGTTAGCCTATATAGCAGTCGTTTGACTTACACTTGTTCTTACTAAGTGCCTGAGGTACTGTATAACAGTGTTTACGTCATTTTGCTATAGTGAATTTATGCCTGGTGTTGTTTTTTTTTTTAGTTTAGTTTTCTGGATTTCTGCAAATTCACCTCCAAAAATTTGAATACTTGCATTTTCCTCACTGATATAAAATAAAATATATTTTAATATCAGTATTTGGGAAAATACAGATCTTAAGCAAACAAAATGGTGACTAAATTAGAAAAATAAATCCTTCACATTCTCTTTCCTTCTAATCTGATCCTTGTATACTCCACACCAAACACAGTTTCCCATGATTCAATGGTGAAAATCAAAAGCTTTGGCTATTTTACAGCAAACAAATCAAGTCAATCTGGATCATTTTGTCAATTTTCATCAAAGTCTCAGTCAAAGAGCCTTTTGTAAGACAAAAACTAAACAGGAAGTTATGTCTGACTAAACAATGATGACACAATGTATTCTTTTCTCTCCAAAGGTCCAGGAACAAAAATAAAAAAAAAAAATCTGGAAGGGATAACATACAATCTGCAGTGGTTTTGTCGTTTAAACAGGCCTGAGCCAATCAGAACTGTGTTTGTTGGCCAAACATCTAAACAGAGATCGACTCACAGAGAAAGTTTGTCTGGCGGTAGAATAAATAAAAGGTATGACTCCAGTACAGGATGACAACATGTCTGGTAGAATGGACATTTGGACCTTTTTTACTTTTGACATTTGGAAAAACAAACTGTGTCAAATATGTTGTTTTATCTTCAGACTTTAGATGAACAGACCAAAGCATTAATACATGAACTAACCTCTCATCAATATTTTAACACTGCCACAAATACTGTTAGGAATAGAGTTTAAAACAGGTTGTAAACATGGAAATATTACACATCGCATTTGGTCAAACAAATCTGATTTAAATTTAGTTGAGCAAAAATAAAAAAATATTTTTAAATAAATCTTTAATTCAAGTAAAACAAAAAATCAAAGCAGATACGCTGACTAAACTGGGACTAAAACTAAGTCACCACTTAGTCAAGAGACTGAAAGTTTCTTATGACTAACTCAAGATTAGAGACAGAAGAGTCTCTGTCTTCAATGCTGATGTACAATAACTATGGCTTCACAAAGCTTCGTGTTTGCGTTGGTTAAGGTTTCCTTTAGCAGCCAAGTAAAGGTATATGAAATCAAAATGAAATAAAATAAATACATAAATGTAAATGAAACAGTTCATAATAAACACATACTGCACTTTCCTCTTAGCATTTTCGAAATCAACGCGTTACTTAAACTGCGGCTTACAAGTAGCGACATGAACACTGAGCATTTGAAAGCATCAATTTGCCAAGAAAGGTATTGATTTAAAACACTGGGTGTCTGGAGATAATGTACTCAGTCAGTGTGTCGGTGATTTACATGTGGCTTTTAATTGAAGGACATACTTCACTGTGCTCTCTCCCTCTCTCTCTCTCTCTCTCTCTCGCTCTCTGTGTTAGTTCCATTTACTGTAGTTTCCTCTCTGACTCACAGAGCATGCAGCAGATTTGATTTAGGTTATTAAGAAGCTCGAAATGTTTTAATGAATTCAGCTTGTCAAAACACACCACGAAAACATTCGGGATCACTGGGGCACAGGGACTGGATTAAGTGTCAGAGTCGCTGAAAGGTTATTTAAATCACAGAGGCCCTTTTATAACCACGCTTTACTGGAATCACAGCACAAAAGAAGAAACATGCAGGAACAATGGAGGCTGATGAACTGAATATTAATGGAATGTTATAAAATAGAAAAAAGAATTGACTTAATAAACAAAGAACAGAGAAGACACCAAACATTCAGCCTTTTACCCCTGGATATAAATAATGCACTTTGACACTTGGACCTTGAGCATCTTAAGAACCGGTCAACTCACGATGTGACACGTGTTGATGCACGACAGAGCTCATGGTGAAACAAAACTCTTATCCCTTAAATAAATCCTTACATCCAGTGAAATCACTATTATTTGAAAACGTGAGGAAAAAACAAGAAAAGACAGGAGGCGCCATTTCAGCTAATGAACTGCAGCCCGGGAAAAATAAATAAATAAAAAGAATGTTTTCTGTGATTGTATAATTGGATACAGACCCTTTACTGATCATGTTACTAATTTTACTTGTAGTCTTTTATCATTATCACAAAGCGGCTCAACAACATGTCAACGTCTGTATCCTGCTTCAGTAACTGAAAGATTATCATGAATATAATACTCACTGTTGTTGATGTGATGATGAGAGTACTTCAGCAGAATTCTAAAAAAGAAGAAGAACACACAGATGGAAGAGATAATTAGTCGACTCATTGATAGACTGATCATTTTATAATAATAATTAAAAAATCTCAACAAAGGTTCTTTATTCATACAGACAGGAGAGTGATTTTATTCACCTCCTCTAGTGACACAAAATTTAAATATGTTACTATCAATGCGATGAATAATGATGAAAAAAAAATAAAAAAAATAAAAATAAAAGTGAATAATGATGAAAAAATAAAAAAATAAAAATAAACCAGCTACTGAATGAAACTCCTGCCTTTTAAAACATGATACTACTGAAAATGTAGTCCATTAGCACTCCGTCCATTATGACGACCTGCAGACATTTTATTATTTAATAAGGAATGGAATAGATTCTGTCTTTGTGTCACAGGACTTCATCTCCTCCCTGACAGTGGCCTGATGATGATGATGATGATGATGACGTCCCAAAATTCTGAGCATCTGTAAAAGCACGTGAGTAGACTACGACGGTGATGAGCTCGCAGCAGACGCCGGTGTCTGTCGTCACTTCAGGACTCATCAGAACTCAACCCGCTGCAAATGAACTGTGAAGGTGTCGCCACCTTGTTTACACCACTGACTCACGTTCTCTGTCACTGCAGATCCACGCCGCTCTTCTCTGACAAGAGGAAAAACAGCTCCGAGCACACAAGCTACCACACAATCCGGGGTCAACACAGACACAAACACAAACATAACAGCAGTATTCTTCTCAGGCGCCGATTGCTAAAATCACGCTGCAGCCAAATAACCTCTGAGTGTGTCCAAGCAGTGAGACCGATGACTTTGTCAAATGAGGCTTCTGCTGGTGCTGGGCTGCAAATCAATGATGGTGTCAGGCATCGAAATGAAGCCCCTGCAGCATGTTTTGGGTTTTCTTTGAGAGAGCTGGGAGAGCGGGCTAGACCTCTGCACATATAAATATTTTATCATTACTACATCGACTCACTCCGGAGACACGGAGAGAGGGGATTGTTTTTCTAGGAGACAAATAACAATTATAAAAGGTATGAGAGCCTTTAAACTTTCATTCTTGTCCTAATGTGTTCTGAAACTTGAAGTGAATTCATCTGTTTTTCCCAGTTTGATTAACTTTTTTTTTATTGTTTATGGATTAAAGATGAGCTTCTTTGTGCAGAACAGGAGGAAGTAACAAAGTCAGTATGTGAAAACAAAGAACTATAAAACCCTAATTTTCCAAAGATTGTTTACTTTAATTTCAACATCGCCTGCAACACTGGCTGCTGCTATAATTACAATAATAATAAATGCATTTTCTGTTGATGTTATATAAGAAGCATTTGCAAAACTATTAAAAAAAAATCCAACCTCCACTTTACGAGTAGAACTGGTGATGTTTAATTCAATCTGACTGTGAAATATTTTTTATAATTTATGTGAAAAACTCCATTAAAAGCATACCACACCTTTGCACAGAATGACCTTTTATAACATCACAAGAGAGTTTTCTCTATACTGGGTTGCCCAGTTGGATCACCTTGTTTTTACTTTTTTATATTTGCACAAATATAAGAAAAGAAAAAAAGCAAAAAAGAGAAAGAAAATGTTTAATCAAAACATGGTTTGAGTTGTTTTTTTTCCTAAACTGAATGCTTTTCAGATCACAGAACCAGCAGACATTTTGTGACAGATTCCAACATGGACCTCACCCTGCTGTTGTTTTGTTCTGCTGAGACCTTGTCAAGTCTGGGTGGAATTTGTCAGACCTCAGCTAACAAGAACAGAAAAAACAACAACAACAACAACAACAAAAAAACCCTAAAAAACACTGAGGAACAACAAAACAAAATGTAAGAAACACTGAGGAACAACAAAACAAAATGTTCTGCTGCAATTAGAGTAAAGGAAACGACCTGCACGACATGAAGTTCAGCTCAGCTCGCTCTCTTTTTTCTTCATCAAACGTCAAACTTTCTCATCTCCACGTCTGCAGTCGTTAATGTAATGAAAAAGAGCACGACAACAGACAGGACAACAGACAGGACGTCCAGTGGTGACAACACAGAGACACAGAAAGACCGATTTTATTTTCCCTTTTGTCTGACACTTCCAAGCCACTTTTATTTCTGCATCAAAATGACAAAGAATTTCAAAGGAAAAGCTTTTCAAACACGATAACGGTGTAAAGAGCAGGCAATGTGTCGTATTTACAGTTCACATGTCAGAATTGTGGGTCAGACCTGAGCTTGAGGACCAGGATCAAAGTCTGACTTGAAAAAAAATGAAAATCAAAAGGCTCTCTCCTCAGAGTCGTCCCCTGAAGACAGACAACACTGTTGAAACAGTACCTGCTCCTTTCATCACCTCACCCACGAGTGTCCCACAACATGGAGGTCAGAACACAGACCCAGACTACACTTCATCTTATCTGCTTCCTTCTGTTGTAGCCATACGATCCGTGGAACGGTCAGCACCACAGGATCCAGTTTAATCCCAACTTTCTCCACATGTTCCCACCAGACAAACATAAATCAGCTGCACCTCAGTCACAGCTGCCAACACCTGACGCTTCTTCAATAATACTCATACATTTCCTGCAGTCTTCATCCCCTTTTTCTAATTCTGCCTCTCTCATCTCTGCCTCCGTGTCACTGACTCATGCTCATAATGATGCCTCACTTCAGGGTGAACACGATGCCATTTTTCATAATTACGGTCAGATTTGAATTTTATGCAGGGCCAAGGTTGACATTTCCAAAAACTCCCACGCAGACAGCTACAGATGCGACATACAGTGGGCAAAACCTGAAGGTGACAATTAAAACCAACAGTCACGATGCAGAGCCGGGTGGATAAAAATGGCTGTTATTTTCACTCTGTTTGTGTTTTAGTAAACTTAGAGAAAAAAATAAAAAATAAACCCAACAAACTAACTGTCTCAGGGTATTTACTGGATCCTTTTAACAAACAAATGTTACTTTTAGGGATTGTTTGAACCTGAAATCAAGTTCCTTTTTAAACGACTTAAAAGCTTGAGGGATGAAGCATTTATTATCACGTACTATTTGAAATTCTACCATCGGTCTCAGAACTGATGCTTTAGTGTATTGATTCCAAAAGATTGGGTCGTGATCCTCAGGTGGCTCGCAAGAGGGGTCGTCTCACATCATGTTTCCCAGGAGTTAACGAATAATGTCTATTGACTTTGGTCATGAAGGTTTGTGACTTTTAAAATATAAAAAGTCAGCATTACAAACAAATCCTGTCTTCCTGCAGAGTTTAGAGCAGATACGTCAATGATTGATACGACCAGAGAGCAGAAATGGAACGTGAAAACACGGATCATTTCACCGTGCCGTTGCCACTGGACTGGTCGGCTGTGATATTTGAATGGGACTGATTGGACCAGCATCCAGGGCTGCTGGTGACATCAGCAGGTGGTACATGGCAGGCAGCAGAATGATGAGGAAATTATGGAGGGAACGCATTTGTGTCAGGTCAGCAGTTACAGGGACAAAGACATCGAGCTCCATATAGTGCAGACACCAGGTGGTGGGTTTAATGGCCTCAGGTCCAGACATGGAGTCATCATAAAAGCGGGCTTTCAGTCACAAAAAAACAACAACTGTGATTCAAAAATCAGGCCGAGGACAGATGTGGAAATATCACAAACCTGGACAGATGGACAAACAAAATTAGAATTTAAATCTGAATCTGATTCACTGGTAACAATGGAGCGGTTATGTTTTAGATTGTCTAATGGGGAAACATGACAAAGTTAAGTGTTTCACAAAATGAACATCTGATAAATACCAGGATGTAACAATCATAAAGTATCCAGATACTTATTTTTGGAATGTAGTTGCCCCTTCTTCCCTACAGATGGTGCTATAAACACATTGAATGGCCCTTTGCTGTGAGTTGAGTCGATTGGTGGTAAATGTTAGTAGTAAGTAGTATTACTTTCTCTATAGAAATTATGAACAACATCAACAACAACAACAACAATTTACTTTCTCTATAGAAATTATGAAAATAAAACAACTTGACTTATGAATATACTGTATTTGCATCAACAAACGAAGGGAATAATAATAACAACAACAACAACAACAACCTGTGTACATACATATAAAGTCCTTTCTTGATTTGTTTTTTTCCCAGCATTCTCAGCCATTAACTGCTCTCGTGCTACATTCCAAGACTCTTCTTAGTTGCCCCGACACGTTTTCCTCTTTGTTTTGAGGTTCAAATGCAAAGTGATGAAGTGACAAAACACTGTCAATCAAACGTGTTTCACAACCACTTGAGATTCTCGGCTTGTCTGGAAGTGTGAAAACATCAGAGGCCGATTCTCATCCGGAGACTGCACAGCGAACCTGACTCGACTCTGAATGGAAACACGTTCTCCACTTACAGCCTCCTTTCACAGGAATGGTCTCTTTAAAACGCTGTTTGGGAGGAAAACGTCACTCACATTTCAACGTCCTCGAATTAACGCCGGCCTTGTGAAAGCAGACAGACTATTTGTCAAGTCTTCCAATTAGCCTGTGATGTCACTGTGTTCCTAAACTAGAGTTTGGTTTCTGCGACGTGTAAATACAAGAATAAACAGCCTTATTTACCCCGGTTTCCCAAAAACACAATCAGCAGGCTTTTCTCCATGCTCAGTGCTCTGCATGAAATTAGATCGCTATTGATTCCCTAAAAACCTCCTCACAGCTCTCAGCCCCGCAGGCCCCTAATTGGCCCCACCGCAGGTTCAGTCTTGAACAACATGGCAGTTGTGCATTAGCATTGTCTACAGCAGAGCAGCAGACTGCAGAGTAAGCTCGCAGTGGCGTTACACGGAGAACTCTTCCTTTAGTCTGAATGGTATTTCACATCTGTGCCTGTGACTTGACGAGCAGCAGTACAGAGGCCTTAAGGGTGACATTTGGTGACATTTAGCAGCGGAATGTGAATGACTTGTGTTTTAACATGAAAGGTCATGCCATGCCGGGGCGTTTG